TATTTTGAGGATTAAATGAGAAATTATACCCGAAAGTATTACGAAATAGCAAACTATTTTTAATTGTTTCATTTGCTAATTCACTCAATCAACAAATATTTCTTATTAAACATTCAGTATTAAATGAGATGGTGTATATAAAGAGAAACCAGACACAGAATTTACCCTAAAGAAACTTTCAAATGATATTATTCTAAAGATATAGCCCACTTCCTAAGAAAATCATATGAGGCAAAAATGAAAAGCGCTCATATGTGTTTATAAGGTTCAGAGTAACAAAGAGACACCCCCTAGATGGAGCCGTCCGCCAAGGACCCACGACGGGCAAGAGATAAAGGGCAACGGCGTTCGGGTGGCGGGTCCGGCAGGAGCAGCCACACAGTGAGGAAGTGTGAGGACGGCAAGGGGAGCCTGGGCTGCAATGTGGGGGATAATTAGAGGGGTGCGGTTCATAAGGTTGCACAGATGGCTTGGAGGAATTGGGAATCTAATTTTATAGACAACGGGGAGCCGCTGAAGGTTTCTGAGCAGGCGAGTGATGTTGTCAGGGGCAGTTTTCTTGAGGACAAATTCAGCAGCAAGGTACTGGGAGGTTTGGAGAGAGGAGAAGCAGAAGCCCGCTAGGGGTCTCTTCTGATGGCTTCAGAGAGAGCCGAGCTCCAAAATGGATCAAAGGCAGTGGGGATGAAGGAGAGGAGCTCAGAGGGAAAATATTACAGAGGAAATAACAGAATTTAAGTGACCATGTTGAAAGGTGAAGGATGAGGCAGGTGAGTGAGCAGAGGTGAATGTGGGGTCCTGAATGCTGCTGAGGCCTTGGCTGAGGAAAAGGGCATCAGGGGACTCTCCAGGAGGAGCTGGGCTGGGAAGGAAGGCAACACAGGCTCCGCGTCCAAAGAAGGAAACGAAGAGGAAACAAGATGGCGGCGCAGGAAACGGCGGCGCAGGAAACAGCTGCGCCCGCCGCCTCCCGCAACCACATCAAAATCACAACTAAAACACAGAACCACCATCCCTCAGAGCCTCCTGAGATCCGGCTGCACAGAAGCCCCACAACCAGGGACCTGAAGCACTGAGAGCGGGAGGAGGCGCGCAGACTCGGGGGGATGGGGCTGGATCTCAGAGACGCCGCCGCGGGCCCACACCCGGTGCCGCAGTTGAAACCCGGGAGGGAATCTCGNGGCGGAGACTCGGGGGGATGGGGCTGGATCTCAGAGACGCCGCCGGGGGCCCACACCCGGTGCCGCAGTTGAAACCCGGGAGGGAAGCTCGGGGCGGAGGTTTCCCGGAGGAGGGAGGGGTCCCAGCCCCCCAGCAGGCCCCCAGCACAGGGCTCCAGGGCCGGGAAGAGACGTCCCCACAAC